GAACCGTCTCAAAAGGGTTAATTGATTTTTCATGATTATTGGCTAGTTTAACATCATCATTTGCATTCTGTCTGGTAGATGGGATATCCCCAATGCACTTGGGAGCAATTACCATGGACAATATCCATTATGACTTCAAGGTGATGACTAGAATTTAAAATAGATTTTGCAAAGACCTTCTTAATGCTTATTTTATATATTACATATATATATATATATATATATGCATGTATCATTCTTGTATTCTATAACAGCTATTTTGTCTTTATTTGAAAATCTGATTTTTAGTTTTACATTCTCTAGAGAGAAGTTTCTTAGTAAGAAAACAAAAATTTTGCTACATTAAATAGACTTATCATGTAACAAAAATTATTTGTAAAAAATTCTGACATTTCAATATTGCTTAATCTTTATTGATTAGTAACGTAATATCTACGCAAAAAATTTAAGCTAGCTTAATCAAGAAAACTAATGTATAAATCTACATGCTAAATTTAAACCATAACAGGCAATGATACTGGCCTCTAATTTGACACTGCTTTTTGATCGAGAAATATAGGAATCCACTTCACGTAGATTCCTTCAAAACTAAATTGTATATTATTAATTAAAAGTTATTTTGTTCAAAAACAAAATAAATACAAACACACAACTAAACCTCACTATATATGTAAAGCTCACATCAAAATTAGTTTGCTTCATTCAAAACATTTTAAGTAGGACTATTAATAACATCTGGAAAAAATATAACAAAATTTGATATTTCAAATTACAAATAGTTTTATTATACTGACATCAGATACCAACTTATACATACCAATACAATACATTAAAACCACAACAAAACCTTACTTTTTATGAATTAAGTTGCATTAAAAAAGTTTATTTTCCTTAAGGAAACAAAACATTTACAAGTAAATTAAAACAACAAGATTTTTTACTAGGAAACCAAAACAGACTAACTTGATCTTTTGGAGATATTTCTGGAGATTTTCCAAAGAGACCCATTTTACTGTTATAAGATTTTTCTCTGATACAACATTAAAGATGATTCCTTCAGAATGAATGAAGTAAAGATGCACTGCTATAACTCTTTGCGTCTTAAAACACTTTTCCTTCAAAATGTTTGTCAAGATCTGTAAATTATTTAATATAATGTTATATTTGCAAGTTTCACAAAATATTTTTACATTCACACCAAAAACTAAAGGCGAAGGAGGAATTTTTTTTTTTCATAATGATGTACCAAAAAAATCAATAAGGGAAAAATACAGAACCCAAATGAACTTAATTTGGAGAACCAAAAAATTATTTCTAATGTTTTTATTTGCTGCATAAGAAAAACACAGAAAGTTCAGTATTATCACAGTCAAGTTCACATAAATATAGTTTTCTGCTAACAGTTCACTCAGCTACAGTAAATAAACAAATACTGTACTGAAATACACAGTCTGCCAATAATAAATAAACAATAACTCGGAAAGAATGCAATTTTATTAAATAAACATGAAACAATGGATACAATGATGGATTTTTTCTTTGGAACATTTAAGGCAGATTCATGGTTATACAATGTATTTATGAGATCTAAAATATGGACTTGTGGGACTACACAGCCCTTAGTGAAGAACTTAGATGAGAGTGTCCTTAGCAGTTGGTTGTTTGAGACACTTCCACACGGAATAATCAAAGATGGACCACGTTCGTATCCAGTGACTGGCTTAGCCAAGGGAGAATGGCAATGCCCCAACTTTTAATCTCTTGTTTTGTTATCCTGGGTGAATGTATTGAATGAAAACTCTACCTTGTCTGGTAAGCTGTCCATTGGCATAAAACTGTAATGTATCGTGCACTAATGAGTTTTCTTTCACATACCACTATCTGTGATTGTCTAGCTTCCCAAATGGCATCCTACATCATAACTGAGATACCACCATATTTTGTGAAGGCTTGCAGAAGGTTCAAAGAAATTCCAAAGAAAATAACTGCTTCCATTCTCCGAGAACAACAGGAATCTAGATTAATCATGAAACATTACAGTATCCCAAAGGGCAAGAGGGTGTGACAGCATTTGTGATACCCACCTCTGTCAATCTATAAGGTTGACAGAGTGAGGGTGACTTCTGTCTCTAGCTACTCTGCTAATGTAGTCTATGCTATGAAGATAACTACTGATGTTAACAAAGAACATTTGCCCCTGTCCTGCAATAGTAGTGGCCATTTGATGGGTGCCATTTTTCACTTTCTGACATGAAGTCTCTTCTGTTGGTCTTGGCACTCAGATTATGAGGAAAGTAGTTTTTTTGATAAAAATGAAACCTATTCACTGTGGACAGTGGTACTGCAAGTGACTTGTCTATTTTCCACCAAATTTGACCCTCACTCATTATCCAATTATATGACCTCATAAAAAAAAGTTAATTCCCGAGATCCTTTTATATGTGGCAACAATAGTGTTCCATAACCATGCATGACTAGGCCATCAATAACATCCTTCACTAATTCAATAATGACAAATGAGTAATGGTAGAAACTGTTTATTAAAATACAAAACTGAATTACACAAGGCTATTCATAAACAAGGGACAAGTGACATTTATATGCTGAGGGGCAAATCTAGTCAATCAACAGTAAATTAAAACCTAGACAGTAATGCCCGTAGAAGTGATAGTAATGAAAACGACTAACCCCCAAGTTCTCTCTCAACTTGGCAGTTAAGTTCTTATTTATGAAAGCCCAGCATATGTAAATGATACATTTTTACAATTATTAACATAACACTATGCACAACCAATATCATGTGACTATTAAGTTACATCACAAACTGTAGTTTAAATATAACCACGATGATTGCACAAAACACGTAGGAAACACGCAAGTTATTATTAATAGAAGGTATGTATTTGTAATGTTATAAGTACATACGATAACATATGACATGATTATGTGCCAAAAGAAACCTGCATCTTAAGGAAGAAATAATAATCTAATTCTTCAAACTTCTGAAAAATGTAAGTGTTAGATGTAAATACCTACTCAGTCTATCTTAAAGATCAGTCAGTTACAAGTTGTAAATTGCATTATCTCCATATTTAGTTACCATGGCAAATTTATTTTGCTGAATTTTCTAGTGATGAGTTTTGCAAAGAAAAAAAATTAAAGGGTTTTATTCCTATAATATTAAATAGGAAGTGATTAGTTTACGGGCAACACGGTTCCCAAAGCCTGGAAGGCCCACCAAGGAAAGTAAAGTGCAAGTAACACAGCAGACAGAGCTTGTCCACTACAGCATTTCCTTTGTAATCAGTTAAAGCTTTTATACTGTGTCTGTAAACATACATCAAAAGTGTTTAATAAACAGCTAAAGAAACAAGTAGTAAAAGAAAAAAAAACTATCAGAGCATTTCCTCACTACAGAATATTGTGACTGTGAAATGCATAAAACACAATTACTCATAAGCTAACTTACAAACTGCAGAACTGCAAAGTTATTGCACAATAAAACTAGCCTGTTAATGTGGTCCATAATACATATAAGGACTGAAAACTTTTAACACTAAAGTGTCATCTTCTTATGTTTAAAAACATAGATTTCAAGTACACGAGCAAACTTATTTTAATGTGACAGTTCAATTGATCCAAACTACTTCTTTTATACAGGGGGGGGATCTTTCATTTGATAGTGGTTTCACTAATCCCAATACAAAACTAACAAAATCGACAGATTAAGCTACTGGTTTCATGACGTATTCTGATGGTTAAATCACTGACATTCTTATATGAAAGCTTAATAATCAAATAAACCTTCACTGTTGTTAGAGTTAACAGTAAATTTGTGAATGAGCCATGTCAAGAAATTTGCAAGAAGGTCCTTACATCTTTCTCATCTACCACTTATACATTGGAACTTTGTAAAAAGGAAGCATGGTGGTTTATATGTTATACAAACACGAGTTAATTGTGACAACAATTTACATAACCCAAGTTAGACAAATGATATACTGTTTCCAAGAGTATCTCATATGATATAAAAGTACTTTTAAACTGTTCATCTTTTTTCCTATATCTATCTAAAAATTATACAAGTCATAAAAGTTGCTTTTTAAATGAGATAAAAATCAATATGCACTATTGCACTTATAAAACCTTTTTTTAAATGTGTGTGTGTGTGTGTGTGTAAAGGACAACTTTGGAGTATAAAATAATTACTTGTTGTTGTCCATGTTAAAAATAAGTACACAAATAATGCATAATAACAGAGAGAAAATACTTGTATCAATCAAAAAAATAAAAATTGTGTGTTTGATTTGAATAATTATTACATCGTGACTTTCATGGGAACTTAGTTCCGACCTTTCTTTAAACTTACTTTCAAAACATAGTTAAAAAATTCATATTCCTTAGGATTTGCATTTACGTTGCAGTGTGAAAATAAATGTAAATGACAAAATCAAAACATTACATTTGTAGTTGTATATTAAGTTACTTTTAATTTAAGACTTTCTAGAAACACAAGCTATCACAAATGAGGATTAGAACACTGCTAACTACTGTACAATAATGATAACAGTTACAAATATTTTTAAGTTTAGTATGATAAACTTCAAAGGTAAGAATTAAATACAAATTTATCATTGATTTAAATTTCACCATATAATAAGTTTATAACTTTTAAGTGAATGGTCAATATTTGATTCCACAAAAAAACTAATATTCTATTTGGTAAAAAAAAACATTTTATTTTATAGTACAGATTAATCTGACAGGTTTTTAAGTGACTTAATAGTAATACAGTACTAATAGTAGTTTTTGTAAAATTAACTTTTTAATACAATATTACATGTGAAAATGTTACTTAAAAAAATTCTGAACAATAGTTATCACAAGTTGCATTTTTTCTTTCAGTCATAAAATTAAAACTGTTTTGTGCCTTCTGTTTTAACAATAACATTTAATAATTTATGCCCGTTTAGCACCAATGATAATTAATTATAGTGGAAGTTGTAGATTAAATATAAAGTTATTTCTAACATGTAATCATTACTTATTAAGTTATTTAGCTTGATTTATGGCTAAAACTAAAGTAAAAATGAAAAGTAATAACTACAAAATTAATAAGCTGCCAAAGCGTACTCTACATTTTAATATCCTTTAATAATATTTTAATTCAGTGAACTTACATTATATTATCTTACAATATAAATTAATCAAATTATTATGAGTGACATTTTTTGTTATCCCAGAAACTACTAACGACAATAACGTGACCACCATTTTTTTAGTTTTACTTTAAGTTTAAACCAAATAACATGAATAATATTACTATTAGAAGTATTGGTTTTAATGTTAGGCCTAAATTCCGTGATTTTAACTAATTTTGGAAACGTGTTTTTTACTTTCTATATATGTGTAATTAGGTATATATTTTACGTCTTATTATTACTACTGTTTATAAACTAATCCTAGCTAATAGTAATAATGCTAAAAGTAATATACCTAACTTTTCATCGACTTGCTTCTAATAGTTCTACGCTATATCGTCACAGTATCATAACACCACTAACGCTGAGTAACAGTAATTTTTTTGACAAACACTTATTGTTTATAAATTGCCATGTCATATGAAATACAAATGAATTTATAAATTATAGCAAATTTTATTACATAATATTACAAATTTTAAAGATTGTTACGTTAGAACTACAAAGAATTGTTTAAATATATTTAGAGCGGTAATAAATGGTCATATGAGTATGACACAATTTCAAGATATTAACTGTTACAGAAGCAAAAAAGAAAACAGTTTAAATTGAAAAATACTAATCTAACAGTGTTCTCAATGAGGTCCCACCGTGAAGACTCCCGGGCACTCAACTTTTTTTTTTTTTCAAGAGTTCCAGTGAGATTTCTAAATTCAAGGATCCAATGGGCATAGGCGTAGGGGGAATTTTCAGAGGGGTGTGGGCGGCTGCACCTCTTTTTGCCCGAATGAGATTATGAGTAAGGAACTTCTGCTATCACTTTATCCCCAATGAAGGTAAAGATTGCTCAAATAACCATATTTTCTGCTTCTAATTTTGTCCGAATGAAAATTGCCAAAACTTATTTTGTAAGGCGGAACTAGTACCGGGACTTATTTCAGCTGCTTTATCCTTATTTATGTTAACACGTATATATATTTTTTCTTTTTCAAAAACAAGTTCACTTCACCCAGCTGATTACCACTACTTTTTCTTTCTTTTTCTTTTGAGAGTTTCATCCTTGAAAGGTACAATAGGTAGAACTTAATAAACTCAAAACAAATAAACAAATAGGAAAAAAGCACATCATTGCAAGTGGAAAAGAGCATGTTAATGTATAATAAAAACAATATTTACAATGTACATTGCATGTTGTTTCCCTTTATGAATGCAAAGTAAATTTCATGGTAAGAATAAAACACTTTTCTTCATAAGATAATTTTAAAATATTTGCATAACCCCGAAAACCTCCTAAATAAATGTTTTTTTGTTGTTTTTTTTCAGATAACTTTGTATTTTATCTGTTATTTTCTTTAGTATATTCTCTATAGTACATGGCTCAATCAGGTCCGTTAGTCTGACAGACCTCGTAATCACCATAAAAAAATTAGAAAATAATTATAAATGTCTCCAATTTTCTTTCTGGAATTATTGCAAATTGTAACAAAAAAATACAATTGTTTACCCTAAGTAGCTTAAAGCTTGTAACAGTATACATCTATTTATACTTAAATTTTATTGTCCCTTGAACCCTGTCTAACTATTACTTGCACCATATAAATCGCAAATCACATGGCGAACTTGCAGTCCACATTACGGTATCGAATTACATAATGCACGTAGTACTCGCGAGTGTACCACATAGAAAATTATTATTATATTTATTTCACTTTAGCTAACCTGAAAAGTTGTAAATTTTTACATTTTAATTACTTTTATAACGATAAATAAAGAATACACCAGAAATCAAAATAAAATACTTACCTTGGTCTTGTTTTCTTTTTTTTTTTGCTTTCGACTGTCAATGTAACTTAACGCCACTTTTTATACTAATTGTTCTACTGCAATAAATAATTTATATTTAATTAAATAATGCGCCAAAGAACACAGAATAATAACATGAAAAAAAAAACCAATGTTCCATAATTATCACAATCCTTTTGGCTTTCCGACTGCGCGACAATAACCGGTAAAAATTCAACTAAGCTTGTAGATGTGTCTTCAGTGAGAATAAAGTTTGAACTGGAACTTGGAAGGAAAATGGACAATTTTCTGCACAAACAACAACGTAATATAATACATCATTTGATATAGAAAAACTTTGGATTTCTATTGGTTATAAATAATGTAGTCTTGAATATTAGAGAGAACTATGGGCAAGTTTTGAAAAAGAGAATGTGACAGATGAGCGTGGCAAGAGGGGTCTGATTTTCTATTTTATTGCTCTGTAACTAAATAAGATTGAAGGCTATGTAAATTATGCTTTGTCTGAAAGATTAAAACGTTATAATGAGTAATTTACATTAACTTTCGTACTTCTTGAAAGGAATGGTAAAAAAAAATAGAGAAGAGAGAAGACATAGATAACAAAGGCCACAGTTCTTATACTAGGGGAGATTGAGAAAGTTTTAAACTATTTGCTTATACAATTAAAACTTAAATAATACTAAACTTTGATTTATTATCTATGCTCTGATGCCGAGTTTATTCATATACATTGATAGTAAAGTAGTTTAATTAAATTTTGAATGTAACTCTGTGAAAGGTTATGACATGCACTTTCACCTACCCAAGGTGAAAGAAATAATCCTGTGGTACTTTCATGTGAAATTTATTGTCATTGATGAAACCTGTTAGAAGGTGATTGTGGACAGCTGTGCGCAAACTGTATGCTGTTTAGTTTGTTATGGTACAAAGTTCGAAGCAAAGTACTTGTGCCTGCCTTCGAGACCAATGAGTTTTGGGTTAACTAGAACCCTGTGTTAGTTAAATATTTGCTTCTCAAGTGAATTGTTTGTAATAATTGTAAAATCACAGAAATATAATGAAGACGATTTGTTGTTATATGCAGTAAAATGCCAGATTATGATTAATTATCCTCAGTTATGCTTGTTTAGCACTATATCCTTGATACAGTTCCTTAAGGACTTTCAAGAATTAGAAACGTGTATAATAATAGTATTCCAACTACACTATATTTATCATATCCATTGCCGATGACGCGCTTCACACAATCTAGAGCTCTTCAGGTCAATTGCGACACAAGAAACAAAGTAGCGGACAGAACACATTTTATACAAGCCATTTGATACAACAAAAATTGTTATGGTGTGTATGCCTTTTACAAGTCGGCAAAGTATGATTACAATTTACTTGTCATAAGACATTAATATTAGGCCTATTATATTTTTAAATACTACATTATTATTCTAGTCTCTTAGAAATTTTCACGAGTTACAAGAGTATACAATAATAGTATTCCGACTGCACTATATTTGTAATATTCATTGCCAATGACACATTTCACTGAATTCCGAGTGAAAGGCATGCACAACATGATAGGTGTTGATGCATCAAATGACCTATATAGATAGTATTACGATCATGGTGTTGAAAGCATTTCCGTCAGATGATGGTCAAGAAACATTAACCCTAGTAACACAATTTGCCAAGTAATACCATCTGCCTATAGAACCTTAGTAACGCAATCCACCTTGTAACGCCATTCATCTTTGTAAAACACTTGTAATTTAGATAAATGTATAAATGCAAACTATAAACATAAGTTCAGACAAGTTGAAATCTGTATGCAATTCTGCAGAAGTATAGTAACACTGTCTGCTTATAGAAAAACTGTTCACCTTTGTAAAATGCACACAATACATCTAGTAAGACTATCTGCCTATAGAACCTTAGTAAGACCATCAACCTAGTAACACCATCTGCCTATACCAATACTACCCTTAGAAACACAACCCATATATATATAGAACCTTAATAACACCAACCACCTATAAAACCTTAGTAATACCATCCGCCTATAAAACCGTGTAACAACATTTGCCCATAGAAATGCGCCATTTGGTGCCACCACGTGGGACTGATACTCCTAGCAACACACTCTCTGCTGAGTAACACTATAATTTCACGTGAAATCTTCTAAGAACGTGTTCTCTGGCAGCAGACAACTTCTACTTATCAATTACTTTACATTCTACTTTACAATTTATATAAATTCGTGCATTTCTTAACATTTTGTTGAATTGCTAAAAACACAAAATCATACTGTTCCAATATCGCTTACTTTTAGAATAACATACTTTAAACAGAAATTATTTGTCAATTAAGTTTTTGCAATTATATAGAAAACCTTCGAAAATTTCAGAACTCGGGACTATACATTTCTTTGGGATTATTCTCTCTCTTCTTCTGAATATAAATATATATACATTAAGTAAATAATTCAAACTAATCAACCATTATTTAAGAGACAAAATGAAAAATTTTTTGGTAGAAATACAAATGTGAATTCACGCGTCTTCATAGACCAAGGTTGGAGGTACTAGTGTATTTGTTGAATTTCACGAAGGGGTGAAATTGAGGGCTACTTAAGGGCTAGCTGTGCTAACGTACCTAATTCAGAAGGCCATTAGGTTTTCCTGATGCAAATAATACGATACTTACATATGGAAATAAAGTTTCGTATTAATGAGTTATTGAAACACCATGTTAACGAACGGAAAATAGGCCTAGCGAAATTAAGCCTATATCACATTTACTAAGGTAGTGTAGTATTTTCTTGGATTTAGTATTTATCGTCTTCCTCATTAAATGGTGTTTTGAAAATTGACTCCTTCGTTTCTCTTGTTCTTCTATAACTTGTCTATATAGTAGTATCGTCGCTAACTCTTGAAAATATTTGGGGTATAAGCCACAAGAAGAGCTACTATTCAAAATACTTAAAACAAAATTGAGATGTAAAATCTATGGGTTGTGCAAGGTAGATTTAGAGCACTGCCAAATCCATCCGAGGCACAGACCATGTGGGCTGACGTCTATCAACGCCCATGCTATACAGTATGTGTAATTGTGGTATAAATATTTTATTATGTTTAAGTAACTTCTTGAGTCAAACTGTGATATTATATATTAGGAATGTTAACTTATATGATTTAAACTTTAAAAGTTTGTTTGTTTTGAACAGCTTCAAACCGAAATTATATTTATTTTGTAGTAACTTAGCATGTGGTCTTTCAGGACATGTCGAAAATGCACTGCAATGGGCTTAAGAAAGACATAATTCTGAAAACATAATTTTGGGCATTGGTCTCTTTGAAAGAACCAGGAAGCGTAGTAATAGTCTCTTTTTAATATCTGCTCAATGAACGATTTTTGTCTTTTATCTTAACATATAAATAAAATATCGTGTTGTACAACAGGAAAATTATTGTTGCATATCCATATTAAAAATAATAAATTAATATTGTAAAGGTTTTTATCTTTAGTAGGTTTCTTTTTGATTATTTGGAGAGAAAAAAATAGAATTTATAATTCACTTAACAAAAAGTAAGGAGTTCTTTTTCTTTAACTTAGTTTTACAATTTACACGATTTCACCAACGATAACTAAGAGATAGGTCTAGTTCACAAATAAGACATAACAGTGACATATTTGTTTAATTCCCATTCGTATCTAAACCATAGATTCAACAAATATGTACAGCATTCGTTAACTCCGTATTCAATCGATAGCACTGTAACTTATACATTTAAATACTGTGTATAAGATTCTACTCAGTGATTACCCTCAGGATTTGAAAAAATGAAGGTCCAATGACACTTTGATTTC